TCTCCGTGGTGCCCAGCAACAGGACAAGAGGCAACGGGCAGAAACTGAACCACAGGAAGTTCCATCTGAACCTGAGGAAAAACTTCTTCCCTGGGAGGGTGGCAGAGCATTGGAACAGGTTGCCCAGAGAGGTGGTGGAGTCTCCTTCGCTGGAGATATTCAAAAGCTGTCTGGATGTGATCCTGGGCAATCTGCTCTAGAGGACCCTGCTTGAGCAGGGAGGTTGGACTAGATGATCTCCAGAGGTCCCATCCAACCTAAACGATTCTGTGATTCTGTGATTCTGTGACTCCTTTTTTGTATTTATTGATGAGAAGCTCAGCTTGCATTTAAACCCTGGTGCAATTCTGTCACTGAGGAAGCTTGACAACATGGACTCTACATATTCGAATGATAAATGGGGAACAAACCTCCACAGTCTTAACTACTTTTACCCTTTTTCTTTGAAGACAAGTGCATGATTTCTGACATGTAAAATTAGAGAAACAGCAGCACAGATAATAGCATTCCTTGGGAATTTCTGATGAGCTCATCCTTAGTGAACTTTGTAGGCATCTACACCACACATATTCAAACAGGGATTTTATGAGGGTCCCAAGAGCAGCAGTACTCAGTTTCCCCATACGTTTAGGAAGATGATGGGTAACACGGAAGAACGTAATAAATAGTTCTGTCAGTATTTCCCGGCATTTATCATCAGTTTGCCTATCAAATAATGTTAAGAAATGGGCTCAGCCCATGAAACCTCCTGTTTCTTCCCTATCTTGCCTCCAACTTAGGCTATTTGGCCGTTCTTCCTTGGTGCACCCCAGTGCCAAAGCAGCATGCCTGCTGTGCAGAGCTGCAAAGGACTGCATGGTGGACTCGAGAGCGAGGGAAGGAGGCTGTAGACGCGAACAGAAGAGAAACCTGCACCGGCCCACACCCTGTAAGGGTGCTAAGTGGCCTCTGCAAAACACACAGCACATTCTGCTAGCATTTCTATGCCTGCTGCGAATTTAGGTCTCCCATACAGCCAGATATACCCTTTTATTCTATCCAAAAATACTGACGAGGAAGAATGAGAGGACTTGGATCATCTGCTTGGCATCGCTTGGTGTCCATCAGCTCGATAAGAACAGTAGGTCCAACAGGACACCCAGAAATCCTGGGCAAATGGTCACTGGCTGGGGTAGTCTGCACCTACTGGAGCTCTACAAGCCCAGGCTAGATCTGACTGCCAAGATGGCCAGACAGGTGTATCTGATGCCATTGGTCCTCTCTGTGTGCAACAGAGCCAAAGCACTTGGTCCACGCTGGACTTAATACATAGACATATACATACTTCTCAGGAAAGCCCCAGCAAAAAAAAAAAAAAAAAAAGCAAATTTCACTATGCCAGATCAGGCTTTCTTGTCAAAGGCCATGTGAACCCCCGTGTTTTTCCAGCCCCGGTGGCTGCTGGTGCAAAGGAAGCCGTCTTCAGTGTTTTAAACAGCCACCCGGGGGCCTGCTGTTTCTGTGAGACAAAGCTGAAATGGTACGTTTACTGCAGTTACAAGGGAAAAAAAAAAAAAAGTATAACAAGTCCAGGAAGGGCAGGACAAAGAATGTCACCATGCCCTCAATTGAAATGTCTTCAGGCTTTGTTTTGCCAGTGGGAGGAACACAAATGGTCAGAGTGGGACTGCAGACTTAAATGAGAAGCACACCCATAAATATATCCAAAAATAAGACTTAACTCTCATCTATGTGAAGTCTCTTTCATGCTGTTTCATTTTTCTAGGCTTTTTACACCAATAAAGCTTTGTCAAACGGATTTTAGCATCTTACAGTGAGAGGTGGAGTACATCGCTAGGCCTTATAACTGGTCTGCAGGATGCAAAGTATTCTGCAAAACTACCATAAAAGCAATGGCAAAAATGATATAACTTCTTATTACAATCTTTGTGTCCTGTCACAAACACTTAGCCTCCTGAGGATTTCCTATTTTGGGAATCAGAGCAGCCTGAGAGCCTTTGAACCAGGCACTTTTAGGTCAGCTGGCTGCAATTATGGTCAAACCCATACCCAGTCCCACTCCAAGGCAATGCAGAGGGCTCTGCAAGGGGGTGCCGATGCTATGGGTAAGCAGAACACATCTGTAGTGAGTACGTTTAATAGGCTGCATATTAATTAAGAGTGCTGCTTATGGAAATTTTGCCTACATCAGGACTGCTGGTATTGGAGATGCAGATCTGTTCACATCCCGATAGCATGTTATAGCACCGTGATTTTCAATATAGATACAGAAAACACAGTCTGAGAGCAGTGAATTTTCTTTCTCCGGAAAGACTTTAGGAGAGGTGCTGCCGTTTCTACTGTGTTCTTGCCAGGCCACATTTGTATTAATCGCGTTTGTAGGAATCGTGGGAAGACAAGGGCTGTGAAGAGCAAATGAATGCATCAGGTTCAAAGCGGTTGACTTTAACGTATAACAACATTTCTCGCCTCTTTATACGTTAAGCACATGCAGCCATTGCTTTTTGAGGGAAGGAACTGGTATTTCTTTCCTCTAGGCTAAGACCCAAGGCTCCTTAATTTCTTTACTCTGAAGTTCATTTTAATCAACTCAATAGGACAGGTTTCACCCCAAACCGTTTTTTTTCCCCCTCCCTTGGCCAATAATAGGGGTAATCAAAGCCTAGCTAGCTTTCATAAGGCGCAGTATTCCTGTTTAAAGCAAAACCACTACCAAAAAGGCCTGTTTACAAAGCAATAAGCTGTTTATTGTTTTATAAGACAACAGAACAATGCGCCTGTCTTTGCAGATCACCACCAAATTTTGAAAGGACTGAATTAGGTCCTGCAAGCAAGTGTGTCTCATTTATTTCCTCTAGTTCATAGTCTTATGTTAATCATTGGGTTAATAACAGGAAAAATGGTAAGTGCTGTTTCCCACAGGGATTAAAACCTCAAAAGGCTGGATGTTTGAGCTGATCTGGCATTGGCGAGCGCATGACTTATTTCCCCCCTCCCCCCATCTTCCTCACCTTCTGGCAACTTTCCTTCTGTTTGGAATCACCCCATATCTGACCCATTTAGCAAAAAATACAATGTCTAGAAGGTCCATAAGCTTTCCCGGTGTTTGTAACACTGACACAAGAGTCTGCAAGTGCTCTCCTTTTCAGGCCCTGACAGGGGAAATGCTGGAAGTTTTGCTTAATGGGGGAGATTAGACCATTACCCCTTTCCATGAGCTTACTGTTGAACCCTGTGTCGCCTCCAACACACGCCTTTGCACGACAGCTTAGGCACCTGGGAGGTTTTCTGGATTTGCCCTTAAGAAAGCTTGATCTTTTCTCCGCAGCAGGCTGGCTCCTTTCCTCTGTCGCATTGTCACCAGCAGCGCTGAAATCTACTTGGCGAGACATTAACTTCACTTACCAGCCTTGGAAGGACTTGAGAGAACCAAATGCCAAGAAATATTTAGAAGATAAAAATAAGAAGAAGGGGAAATGAGCAGACATTTAAAGCATTTGTTTTTGCAGTGTCTGACTCTTTGTGGGATTTGAAGTGAGGAGCATGGTAGCTTGTATTTTAACATTCCCCAATGCCTTCCCTCTAAATTCTTCTGGTAAAGGCTTTTTTGCTGCAGCACCTTTCCCACAAAAGGGGGAAAAATATATACCTGATCTTGTGAACTGCCCCGTGGCACTTGCAGGGCCACAGATGTCACCAGCCAAAGCGGCAATGTCTCAGTGTGGTGAGGAGTCATAGCTGAAATAATCCGCGTGGGCCCAAACTCCACTAACTTCAGAGGACTCGGTATGGGGCCTCCATGGTTTGGAGTGGTCCCATCGGACGCTCATGCGCTGCCTGCAGCGTTTGCTTTGGAGAAGGCAGAGAAAAGCTGAATGAGCAGAGCTCAAATGGTTGGATCCTTCCTCGGCTGGCTCTGGAGACCCATCTTGCTGCTGCTGTGCCACCACCTAGGAGACAAGGTGCTTGGTTTTGCTGCAGGGAGGACGGAGGCAGCCCTCCAAGCTGGGTAGCGGCAGGACCTGGCCGCTCACATCTCTTTGCAGCGGTCAGGCTGGCAAAAGAGAGCTCGAGTAGGACTGGAAGCATTGGGTTTTTTAGCAGTCACAGGGGAGCATTGCTGCTGCTTTAGAGTGGGGCATGGGGCCAGCACCCAGGAACGGTGCCCCTGGATTGGGTTCCCAGCTCAGAAAAACTGGGGGAAATGGGAAGGGTGGCTAAGTCACCATATTGCATTCCTTTGTTTTGGTTTATTGAGTTAGACCTGAAGGTCTTCTAGGAGGAACTCTGCTTCCTCTGTGCGTATGCAGTATGTACCAATCTCAGCCGGTCCCTTGGCAACGCAAAATAAACAGGATTAATGATAACAGCAGACTGATGAGGCTCTTGCCACACACAGGCTGTGAGTGTTATTGGATCGCAGCTCGCTGTCATCACGCTGCTGCTCCTACTACAATGTAGTTGTGTTCCCGCTTTCCTCAGCCCCTTAACTCAGCAGGGGATCCTTCCCACCTCCGTGAGCAGCCTCTGCTGCCAAGTTTAGCATGGCTGGTGCAAAATCTTCATGTGGCAGTTCCCACGGGTAGCCAGAATAAATCTGAAAATGCTCTTTGTATTTTGATGTGTGCAGACGCTGAATATCCATCTGTCACTACATGCTGCATCCTCTTTTTTGATTGTTTGTTTTTTTAAACATTGTTTAAGAAAAATGCCAAAGACTAATAAAAAGCCACGCAAATGCCATTGCAAATGGGGGCAACACTAAGGGGTTCTTTGCGCTGCTGAGTTTTTTCCAGTCCTTGTGAGAATTTACCTTCTCCCTGCATGGCCTTTCTTTGGTGGTGCGTATTGTGGAGACTGCTCTAGCTACCAGCAATATTGCCGTTTTAAAGCGTCTAGTGACTTCTCTGCTCTATCACTGACCGGAACCAGAAAAGTTGATCTGCCTTCGTACAGAGCTACATTGAAATCAGCAGGATTGCTTATGGGTTTAGGATCTGACCGAGATCATCCCAATGGCCCCAGCCCCATGGAAACAGGAGATGTGTCTCAGCATGTCTCTGTATGGCCTAGGACAGGGCTTTCTTTTCTCTTTCTCATGGCCTTGGTAGGCATGGAGTGAAAAACCCTCGCTCAGGTCAACAGTGCCCTGATACCGCCTGAAGCCCAGCTCTGTCAATACGAAGACAGTTACAAAAGGTGACTGCGGACAGCTCGGTGGGCTGGGATCCTACTGACTACATTGCACATAGGATGAGTAGCGACATTACGCATAGGATGAGTAGCGATAGCGTAAGATGATTCACCAGTACTGTCCAGACTAAGGGCCTTACCTCTGCCTTGCAAGAGCTACATTGCAAGAGGGCTGCTCAAAAATCTTCCGCTCGTCCAGTTCCTGACAGTTATCTGCATCTTCAACAAAATGCTTGCCTGAGAAAAGTTTGCTTTCTTCAGGAACGGGTTTTTTTGGTTGCTATTTAAAAATACGTTTGGGGAGGGGTTAGGAGTTACAAGCCAACTGCACATGTTAAAAATGAACAGAGTTATTTTCTCCCTCAGAAATCAAAGACGATATTTTAGCAAAAACTTTTCTTTTTTGGTTCAGATTTAGACAAGGAAAAGAAAAACAGCTGGTCACATTGAAAGGATGGTTAATCTGTCCAGTTTCCATGGCCATTTGATTCCTAACACTGGAGACAGGCTTTTAATCGGGACAGCTTGCAGTTCTTGGGTTGGGCAGGGAGGGCCTGCCGTTGCCTCCACGTATAGACTACAGCTTCAAAAAAGAAGCAAAGATTAGCGGTGTGACCCCATATAGTAAGACAAATCTGTCTTCTGTTTGTTGTGCCCTGTAGTATGCAGTCATCGCGTGCATGGTTTAGCAAAGCAACGGTGATGAAAGGTATTGACTTAAAAATAGACTTATTTACTGCTAAACTGCAGTATTAAATAGATTTTAAACAAATTCAGAGATCAAGGCTTCAGCAAGCATTTCTGCTTGCCTTCTCATTCTTAAACTGAGGTTTCTCATGATTAAAATCCTCAGAAAATCTGCGGGGTGTCTCCTTGATTAGAGAGAAAACAGACTGTAAGAAATACAAAATTTGCATGTACCAAATCGATAGATATTGACACGGTATATATTAAAAATCACTAATGATATATTTTCTTTAGATTTTATTAGTTCCAACAGAAAAGCAACATACAGTGTTATTCAAAGGCTGACATAACCTTTTTCTTTTAGTTTAAGGCAATGGTAAGGTGGTTGTACCGTGCCGTTGCAGTCTGGCACAGTCAGTACTGATAGATGCAACTCTCAATGCAGGACGAGGAAAGTCTTAACTCCAGACCATAAAAATACAATGCTTTATGCTTACAAACCAGTTGATACGTTCAAAACATTTCAGATGTGTTAGCTAGCCAGTCCTGACAGATCAACAGAAAAACAATTACAGGTCTTGCTTATAATTACATCCCTTTTATATGCAAGGAATAGGAAGCAAAGAGGCAGCTGCCCAGGGCAACACAGTAAATCCCCCATGGGCCAGGATGACTATCCTGTCTCTCCTGACTTTAAGTCAGGTGTACCAAATTGCCTGATGCCGTTTCCTATTTGCTTTAGCCCATTGTGTTCACTGGGCCCTAGATAACTCCCAAATGACGACACGTATCAAAGTTTTCCCGCTGTGTTCACGGCAGGAAGAAAGTAGGCTATGCGATTATTCTGGTGTGATTCCACCAAGGGGAGGGAAGCTACATCAGGAAATGTAATAATTCCACAAGATCAACCCTAAACTAAAACCTATGTACAAAGTAGTGTCTTCTCTAGGCTTAACTGACTACAATACTCCATTTGTAATGCTCTACGGTACACACAGCAGAATACACAAAGGTCACAGGAGAAAATAGGCTTATCGGTTTTACTGATGCATTTCTAGAATAAATAATAGCCCTCAGACTGTTACCAGCTGTAAGTCTGTACTTATGCTTCCTTTTCGCTTCTTCACAGTGGAATAAAAGAGTTAATATGGAAATTAATTGATATCTTCACTGAAAAATATGTCAGAAAAACTCCTGAGACTATAAACATTTTGGAAATGCCTTAACTGTAGCTAGAGCAAATCAAGTAGTCCCCGAACTGGGGCACACACTGGTGTGCTTGCTTTTCCCCCCATACAGACCCTGAGGCACCCCAGCCCTTCAGGACACGCAGAATTTCACGCCTGCAGGTTGTCCCACCGATTTTAGTAGGATTGCTCATTTGCTTAATGTATTCCTGCATTCAAAATGCTCTGCTGGCTTGCTGTCACAGCAAAGAAATGCTGTGAATTTTC